AAAGAAAGAAAGAAAGAAGGAAGGAAGGAAGGAAGGAAGGAAGGAAGGAAGGAAGGAAGGAAGGAAGGAAGGAAGGAAGGAAGGAAGGAAGGAAGGAAGAAAGGCGGGGGGAGGGAGGGAGGAAGGAAGAAAAAGAAAAACAAAAGCTGAGAGCTGAGGATGTAGATCAGTGGCAAAGTACTCCTCTAGCATGGATGAGCCCTAACCCCCAGCAGCAAACAAACAAACAAAAAGAAACATAAAATGAGAAGCAATAAGTTGGGAATGAGGTATGATATACTACAAGCATTTACTCATTTTTTTAAAAATCCTGGCCCTGCCAGGAGTGTTATTGCATACCTATAATCCCAACTACTCTGAAAGCTGAGGTAGAGGGATCACAAGTTCAAGGTCAACCTCCACAAGTTAATGAGAACCTGTCTCAAAACAAAATTTTAAAAAAGGACTGGTGCTGTAACTCAGAGATAGTACATTCCTGGATTCAGTCCCCAGTACCACAAAATCCTGGCCCTAGGAATTTCTTTCACTGCCAAGGGCATCTCTCCAGCACTTTCTGCCACCTCTTATAATTTAGTATTCCTTATGCATAGTTAAAAGTTGGTGAGCTCAACTTCCTTCCCCTAGCAGTCCTGTCCAAAAACAAGGCCTTGAGACTGGGGGAGTGGTGGGGATTAGGACTTGTTGTGAGAAAGGTTTCAGATGAAGTTCACTGACACCTAAATGTGGAGCTGAGGGGTTTCAGTCTTCTCCATAAACCTTTAGCTTCCCTTTCTCTTATTGGGAGCTAGAAGAGTGACTTCATCTGGGAGAATGTAGCCAAGAATGTGTTCTATACTAGGATACATACTGACCACAACAATCTGCCAAGAACTGGGGTAAGATACACCAGAAGTAGATTATTTGAGGGCAATCCTGATTATCTTTTCCCTTTTATGGGAACCTTCTAGATAATGTATACAAAGAGCTTCAATAAAAGCTTTCTAATAAATGCAAAATTATGATAGT